TCAACCCCGGCCGAAAGACTTTGCATGCCGTCGCTCTAATACAGTGGTTGGTGTACACACGGCACAAATCTGTAGCTTTCGAAATTACCTTCATCATCTCCTGTAATTTATTTACCCATAGTGGAGAATTACAATACCATATATCGTCGTCGAATCCTGCGTTATCCCGTGTTTTTTGAAACAGATGGCAATTACCCGGGTGCACTGCAATTTTGTCAGCTGTTGCTACCGGACACTGGCTGTTATTGGTGGCATACATTTTTGCCTGTGACTCATAGTTTTTTGCATTTTTATGTCATTAAATCCTTCAATTATATCTTGTACTTAAAGATCATGTTTTCTTTGTTGGAAGTTCGCAATCCATCTCAAAGTAACAACACTGAGAACACAGCATTCTGGCATTCGTGTAGGCACCTCATGGTGTTGAGGGACGGTTGTTTAGGTTTGTGTGGCGAACGACAATCACCCAACGACCGATGCTCACAACTTGGACCCCACCATTAACAAAAAGCAATATTATAGTTATATAACTTTTCAGATGTTTTTAATTCAGTATTTTTTTCAATATTCTTCCAAAATTCAAAAACTATATTTCCCTAAAAATCAAATAATACCGGTTTTATGTATTTCCGTATTAAATCTGTAGTCAATTCATGTTCCAGGGCCACTTGGTTTAGCAGTGCATTATCAGCCAATATACCATGGATTGCATATGCAAATTTTGTGTTTGGACCAATCAAATCAATGGATTAACACCATCAATATACTGGTATAATATAAATTCTAATATGGTATGGACCCAAATGTAAAAAAAAAAAATATCACCATATCTATGTGAATGAATCTCAGCCAGTGAGATTCCATAGAGTCTTTGGCACTAACATTTGCTGTATCAGATACAAGATCTGTTTTGTCCCTCCACAGCAAAATTACTCTGCCGATCATGAAATGCTTAATATCGTAATTTCTTTGTTTTGGATGTTCTTATATGGTAACATAGCACAATGTGGGTCATTTTAACCATTTGAGTTTACTATACAAAAGTGAGCGGGAACATATCTCACTCTAAGATAGTTTCAACTTTTGACACATTTAGCCAATGAGCGTTTAAGTGCCTTTTAAATGTCTTTCTCGAATCCTGGCAATGTTATAAGAGCTGAATTGCACTTTTTCACTGTTCTTGACTTCACAATAAGATACAATCTTGTTCATTCATAGCCATTTATCTTTAATAATTTGAATCTTACGTGCAAACTGAACATTCTCTTTCTACAGTACCACTCATGTGTAGTAATTAAATGCCCAAACATACAAATAAAATCTCACCTTCTTCTCTGCCAATCTCTTCTGTTTTGCTTCCAGCGTGGCTTGTTTTCTCTGCTTCTCCTCCCAACTCTCTTTCTCCTTTACTTTCTCTTCAGTAAGTGAAAACCTGCTGTATACATCTTGCTGTCGATACCGAGTCTCTCCTGGGTTCAGCTGCTGTGATGCCTCACTGCCTGTATCACCAAATTCAACATGGCAGTCTGTACTGGTTGGAAGATTGGGATCTGGCTGTAGTGATCCTCCAGTCTGTTGAGAGCAATTGTGACTGAGTTACTGTATATTTATTTATTTATTTTACTAAACATTACAGTAATGTATTCAAGAAGAACTGAATGGGAAAATGAGTCATGTGGAATACCTGTACAAAGCGCATCAGTGATATTATGTGAAATGGAGATTATTAGCAATATTAAATAATGGTGTACATGTATGATGGCATGAAACAGACAAAACTATATAAATCTATGTGATATTGAAAAAGTCAGGAATGGGACTGTAGTGTAGGAACTGGACTGATAATTATTATAGGGGCATTTTCACTTTTTTTGTTTAAATATTCAACGTAAATACTAAACAAAATATAAAATGTGTAAACACTTAGTGATATGATATGTAACAAGACATAAATTTATGGTAATAATATGAAGATAGCAGGATATAATTTTGTTTCACCAGAATTCATTTGTATTACAGTACAGGAAAAATATATATTTTTAAAGAGCCTTATTTCCATTGACCCTTATAAAAGTGGCATAAACTCACATGTCCAAAGGCTGGAAGTCGAAGTGTTGCTGGAGCCTGGGTTGATGATTGCGGTGATGAAACTGTAGGTATTGTAGCTGTCTCTTGTCCTCCTTGTAAAATCCTAAAAAAAGTACTGACATAGCATTATTATTTGCAGAGATGAACAACATGCAAACCAGGACAAAAAAATGATGAAAAACAATGAATTTAAAATAATTGTAATAGTTCTAAATTTGTTCTGTTAAATTTACTGTTTTATAGCCAAAATATGGCAAATAATTAGAAATGTCTTATGATGCATTTTGCCAAAATGTTCCAAGTTAATTTTTAGACAACTGAATCTTTTAGGAATGTTACTGTTGTTTATCTAGACTTTTTTTGTATGAGCAAATTGCAAGTTTTAGTGCTGACACATAGTGCATTTTTGACACAGAAGCCATATTCATATTTGTGTCTACTACATGACAGGGGCGTGCGACAACCTCTCTATCAAAGGGCAATCTATCCTGGCATCAACCAGGCCCGGTCAAACACAAGCACCTGCAGACCTTAACCAAGGTTCCCTTATAAGTCATAATCATTAGTGAATAAATCTCAGCCAGTCCCATTGGCACAATCACCCAGGGTAGGGTCTGTCAACTCTTTTTATGTTCAACCTAAGGTAGGATTGACAAGTGATAATCTGAAGCGATGATTGCAAATTAGCAAATGGCAAAAAAATGCATATTACACACATTCTATCTGATAGAAGGGATGTGACACACTGTATACATTACACACATAACCCATTTATAATTTGCTTACCATTCTACAGCAGATTGTACAGTTAGCTTCCCTGCCTGGACAGCACGTTGACATTGAGTTATTTCAAAACCCATACTGGCGAGTGAAGCCAGAAGGGAATCTATTGTCTGAATATTGGAAAATATATTTCATAAAAAAACAAAATACCACAATATTTCAAATGCATGCAAGGGCAACCTGAAATGCGTGTACCTAAGTTGCATACCCTTGTCTTATATTTATAAACTATTACAGCAATTCCAGGCACTGATTTGAATCTGAAGTAGTGCTAAATGTTGATAACTTACTGCAATAGGTTATACACGTCTTTTTCACATTTACAGAAGTTGTTACAAATAATGCAGACAGCATGTCTGCAATTTGAAGCGCACCGGAAGAAAGCTCCGCCCATAAAAGTGGCGGTACATTAGTTTTGAGTTTCTCTTCCAATAAACGATCGAAGCTCTCAACTTAGTTTCGTACTTCAATTTGCGTCACATGTTATTTCAGTGAGAGGGGTGCATAAAGCAGTGGCACTGTAAAGAACGTTAGTTACCGGTAGAGCTATTTTACAGAACCAGCTGACCGACTGATCATGGCAGAATTGTTGATCAAAGTGCCTGCAACAAATGTCCTATCATAGACGTACTAGTACGTCCATGGTCCTATGAAGACTTCATCCAGTATATCAATAATGAAATTGAAAATGAAATTATTATAATATTCGACATAAACGTTGTCAGTTTCCTGGCAGTATACTCTCGGTGGTAACAAACAGTTTGACGATATTATAAGCTGTCTGCTTTGAAACACCACTTCGATCTCCAATCTCAACAAATGACAGTCCACGAAAATACAAATCGACAACTTCTTGTTCTCACTTCAACTGTTTTTTTTTTTTTTTTTTTGACTCCTTGCTTCTCCATCGTGGTGCTTAAACAACTTGAACAAATCCCGATTTATAGACACGCAATCAACACGATGACTGACCAAAAGTGAATAAAAGACTTTGTAGAAAAAAATAGAAGACATTGTGGGCAATATCTGTCAATCATTCCTCTGATTTGCAGCCGATGTTTATATTTCTAGTTACAACTTATGTAAATTTGAAAACAAAGTGTGTAACCTATTCTATTGAGTTATCAACATCTAGCACTACTTCAGCGTCAAATATGTGCCTGGAAATGCTGTAAACCCTCGATAATAATATTGTTATATGTTCCGATTAACCTTGACAATTCAATTCTGTCATTGTGAATAAAATACTACCTTTCAGCGTTGTGGGAGGAAATAGTAATTCACAATATGAGTAAATATTTAATATGATGCCAATGGATCTATTTTCTCCATCATCCATTTTTTAGAGATGTGGTGACCTTTTATCAATCATTAAACACAAAAAAAAATAGAGCGCCCACCTGAAAAGTACACAAAAATTTAACTTATTTATGAGTACAAGTGAGTTTGTCTTAACCATACTATGTCAGTATGTAGACAAAATATTTGTCGTAGGATTCCGCACGCGATATGATAGAAAAAAAACAAGTCATGTTAAAAATCAAAACATACCTGGTCAGCCATTTTGTTTCGCGATGCAGTCTGGGTCTCAATATGAACCCGAAAAAAATAGCGCCCTCTAAAATTGACCCTTCTCTGTACCACGTGGGGGTAAATCGGATGATATGATTGGCCAGAATCATATTTTTTGAAACTGCGCGGAATTCGAACGACAGCCCCTTTTGTGATTCTGTGGTTCTGTTTTGCCAATGTTTTCTGGCTTTTAATTTTATTTTACACAGACTTTTACACAGGTAAGACAACTTGATACACTCACAGCCACGTTGATTGGTTTCTCAAAGTGTTAATTTCGTGTATAAGATAAGTAATACTAGTTTATCTTAATCTCGTCGCCGAAGAATCAACTCTGACATTTTGGCGATCACAACACATCACCGTCCCTCAACACCGTTGAGGGACGGTGAACACATGCATCTCATTTTTTCTCTCACATTTCGTGTCTGTTATCCCAGAGATCGATTTGAGCATTTGCTATCTCATGAACACATACTAGTAGTTTACGATAATTATACGTGTAGTCGAAGTCGATTACACCGTTATTATTTATGGAACTTGGTAGTTTATTTAAAGTTTGGCGGAGAATATGGCTGGCGCTGATTGAACCCTGCTTGACTTCCATTTTATCCCGTCAATTTAATCGAGATAAACTCTTCACTTGAAATTAAACATATCGCAATCTCATGACAATACAAACTCAGCGAGTAGTTTTAGGAAGACACTTTACTAAAAATGGAGATTGTCACTCTGCAATTTAAAATTATGAAACTAACTAATGCTTTTCCTGTACCATACTATAAGAAAAGACAATATAATGTGTTTTATTTGTAGACTGTTCCAATCATGAGCACTCGTATGGTAG